TACAATTCACTTTACTTAACTTAAATGGTAATACCAACCCTTTAGCGGATTTTATTCTGACGCAGCACATGTCCATGCGCCTCTAGTCTTTCGACACACTCTAATCACTCGACACAGTCTACCTTCTTCCTTCAACTACCGCTCCAAATACTTTTTGCGCTAGAATATCTTCATCCATTCATTTTATTCCTAAACCAATTTAAAAAAAACTAAGGAATACTAAGAAGGCTCTGTGCTCCAAATCGGTAAGAAGTACCCAAATCGAATATTATTGTTGAATGGAGAAAACGTGAATTCTCGTCTGCTAAATTTAACGACCATACAATTTCTAAAAATATGCCTATAATAGCAACTTTAAGATATACTTTATTCAGATATCAAATTATATATTGCAAAACAACATAGGAGGATAGATATACATATCCATTAGTTTGTATTACAATATAAATCGGTAACGCTATAAATTTTAAAATATAGAAACGAATCTGTTTTTATACTAGCTATTTTTATGGAATTGTTTTAAATAAAATATGTATATTTGTCATGCTTGAATCCTTCCTTCATTTCTTTTAGATTTTCCTCCTTCAAGAAGTCCGTTATACCAAAACATATAGGTTCAACTGGTACCAGCGGAATTTTTCCAATGAAGTGTTTATTAGCTTATTATTTAAATATGTATGGTGAGAAGATCATTAAGTTAAGCTTCCATTGCAGGTTATTACTAAGAATATTAGTTTATCTATCTAGTTCAGATAACAAATTCTTAAAAATTTAAATAAATCTACAAACTATAAAAAGCCAGTATCAAAAGATATTTACAAACGCTTATTACAGTACAAGTTAAACAAACATTTATTGATGTGAAAATATACATATACAGTGCATTACACTTAATATAGTCACGTCATTGTCACGTCAAATATCAGATAGTGGGGAAAAAAACATTTGAATTAAAATTTGATTACGGTACCGAGGTTTTTGCGTGCCTCGTCACGTTAATCAAAACAATATTACTCAGTAATAAATGTCAGAATTTGCACCTATTTGGAATAGAGATGTGTGTTTTTGAATGGATGTCTAAGAAAATCCACATAAAGTCAAATATTTTTTAAACTTAGCACAAAAAAAGTACTAAAATAGTAGTAAAAGTAGAAAAAATACAATTAAAAAAAATCAGAGAGAACGTAAAATTGCCGTGATTATTTACTATATGACTGTCCATATAATATGACTCTAAAAGAAAAATTAGTTATATTTATTTTTGTAAAATAATTAAATATATAAAACATAGTTTTGTAATTAATATTTAAGAAGAACTAGGGTTAACTTCTGATTTCATCATACTATCTATTTATAAGTATGTCATGATTTATATTTTATATAATATAAATATATAAATATGAAACTATTTCAAAATTTTAACAAATTTTAAGCAATTAATAAGTCTATTCGTTTTAAACCATCTGTATAAGAGTTACAATATTTATTACGTGGTTGTATATATTTAACAGGTTAGTGTTCAATTTCGTATGAATGTATTATGTCTTTTATAATTTAATTATTTTCTTTTATTTTTATAAATTCTAATTTTATTTTAATCCTTTCATTACGTTGTTAACCAAAATAACAAAAAAGCAACAAGGTTTTATATTAAATGTTCTTGCAACTCTTGACACTCAAACCTATATTCATTGCACTCAAATAAGCAAACTCAACTCACAAAGCCAATTTAACTCAACATGTAATATTCATTCAAAAGAGAGCTTCATATTGTGTTCAAAACAAACTAAAACTCAACAAAATTGCTCTTGTGTAAGTGTTAAGTCACATATGAGTTAGTGTGTGTATGTATGGTTCCGTGTATACAAATGTGTGCGTGGTAAATGGCACTTAACACTGCACAATACAACAACCAATTTGTGTTAAGAGGATAAGAACTTAACTTTCACGACCACAAAACTCAACTCTTAGTAAACAAGAATTGTGGTAAAGGATATCATAACTCTACAGCATTGATTGTGGCTGGCGTGCGTAATAAAACCGCCGTCATGTCTTAATATTTTGTGCTTTGTTTTGATTTTTTATTTGTTTTTGTTGCATTGTGTTTCGTTGAAATTTTATCAATGAAAATTAATCGTTATCGTGGAAACCCTCATGGCCCAACAAACAAATTTTATTGCATACACTCTCTCATTCGTATAAGTACGCATACATTTTGCTGTTAAAAGGATATCAACGCGCAATAAGGAAATTTTTTACTGATTTCTTCTATTTGATTTAGTGTGTACTCGTATAGACGACGTACCCGTACATGACGTAATTTCATTCTTTTATTTTACGAATGCACGACAACACTGGTAAATTAAGTGCTCCTGTTTCAGTTATATTATCAAAATCATTTCCATTTTATTTACCCAATTTGCGTACATTCTATTTTTTTCCTTCGTATATACTCATTTTAATAATAAAGTGCTTTCAGTTGATACAATTCGAAAGAGATTAATTTAATGGCAAACGCGATTACATCAATGCGCGAAAGTTAATTTTTATATCGTTTTAGTGTTCTTTTTATTACGAGTGTATTGAACGAAAATTATAAGTATTGTAATTTTTTTCAAGTAAGCATTTAATAAAACCAATAGTTTTTTTTCCAATTGCTTTTAAACTTATAAAAAGTTTAATATTTTTAAATGGGTATTTTAGAATAAAATAAATTTTATCAAGATTTTATGCGTTTTAAATTCCTTGAACTAGTTGAATAGTTAACGAGCAGTCAAGTAATTTTATCTTATTATCATTAACGCAATGTCTTAAGTTGAAATTCAAGTTTATAAATGATTGCAAATAAGTGGAAAGAGATTAAAATTTTGATGTAGCTATACTCTACATGTAAATGTATATACTTAAACACTATATCATCTATGGTGCTATATTAGGTTAGATAAGGTTGGAGTATCCAGAACCCGTTGTGCTATCACGGCTTAGCGATGTTCACACGAAGGCAATTTTTTGATCGGAAATGATGGCAATTTCTTAATTTCAGTATTTATTCTTTGATATCAGTTGATTTGCTCCCTTTTTAGCACATATTTGAATTTATAGTGTGAAAATCTCTTATTAGTTTCTTTATTAATATGACGGAGCCTTCTTCATTCGAATTATTATTATTAGGGGATGTGACACTGCGACCGTCGGGTCTATTGTGCCCCCTTCTAGGTTTAGAGTAGATCTCTAAGCACTGCTGCGTCAATAAAAAGTAGTATAGAACCTACTTTACAGAGTTTTATTGCCTCTTCCGTAAGAATATTCATTCCCAGTAGCCTATTCCGTATGTGCATTAGCGCAAGGCATTCTAACAGCACATATGTGGCTGATTCCTCATTTTCTGTACAGAATCTACAGTTTGTATTCGTATGTATGCCCAGTCTTGTAAGATGGTGTTTTAGTTTCCAGTGTCCTGTTAGGATTCCTGTGATGATTCTAAGTTTTTCTTTTGATAGGTTCATACAATCCTGGTATTTCTTATTGTTATGTGTATGAATAATTGATTTGGATTCTTTTAATTCTGGTATATTATCCCAGTAATCCGTTTTATTCTCTACTTTTATGAGAGAAAGGAGCGTCTTCGTTCAGATATAAGTACATAAAATTGCTATTGTTTTAAATATATGCTAGCAATCAATATATGTTTTCAGTAACAAAACGAATTTTTTTCCTTTTGCAATTATATTTATTAACTAATATCAAATAGCAGTTCACTAAACAAATAAATGTAATAATTCAATACTGTATTAAAGCAGAGCTCCTCAAAACAAAGAAATTAAATAATATTTTATTAAAATTGTTTTCGAAACGAATTAAATTTATATGCCGCCCGCCCTCACATCTACAAAAACTTATTACAATAATATTTCTCATAAATTTCTACCACTTTTAAGAATGAAAAACTTAACGACATGTCGCCAGCAAATACATTATCAAAATGATATATGTCTGCGGTATCATGAAATAACATATAAAAAATAGGGTCATTTGACTAGCTTAACACACTAAAAATAAAAGTCAAAAGTGTCTGTCGTAAATCTGTAAAAATAAATAAAGTTGTCAACCCTACGCAAACAAGCGAACGTTTGAAATACACAAGCACAGCGGCAAACAGTGGCAAGCAGTGGTAAGCGTTGGCAAGCAGTAGCTCTGTCGCTTCTTTGCTCCCCTACCGCTATTTTGTCTATCATTTGTGCTAGAATCCTAAGGTTCATCGAACTTATGTCATGTTTGGTTACGATATGCTAATCTCAACGTTACAATATTCGTGACTCAACTGATTGGTTGGCGTTCGTTTAGTTGTATCCAACGACAGGATAAGAAACGACAAATTTCTAGATTTATATTTTAATAAAATCAAGAGAAAAACAAAAAAAAATATCTAAAAGGATAAAAGTTAAAACAAAAATATAAAATGATAAACCGAGAAAAATGCTCCGATTACGTTGTTTGTGAGTCATACTGTATTTTCCTCCACAAAACTGTTAAGCATTGTATTATTCCATATCTTAGGTTTACTGTACCCACAGACCAAATATAACAAATTTTTGGATTTTTAAAGGGCACGTGCCAAATTGTTGGTACAGATGAAGTATGATTAGTTAATGTTTGAAATGGTTAATCCTTCTAGTGAAGCTTTTTATTGTATACTTAAATGTCATCTATAAATAGAAACGACGATTAAAGTAATCAGATTAATTTTAATATGGAAAGAGAATACGGAATGTGAAAACGTTAAAATTATTTTAATTGGATATAAAAGAACTTGAAAGTTTTTATTATTCTCAAGTAGGTACACTTAATTTTGATTCACACAAAGGGGAAAATCTCTCGATTTGTATAAACACAGCACTGTCAATTCAATTGTTATTCTTAGTATGCTTTGACTTTTGGAAAAAAAAGTAGTAAAGGCAAAATTTTTTTAAAAAAATTTGAATGTAAGAAACATTCTCAACTTCTGCTTTTAAAATAATTCATCTGTGACGTTTAACAATATTAATAGAAAAAAACTATTCAAACTGCTCTCAAAAGACAACATAATAAGTCTACTACAAAAGGTATGTAAATTTATATTAATTATTTTGATAATAACTATGAATGGTTATTGGGGTTGGTAGCAATTAAGACAAGGTAGAGCTTTACGTTGAATGATCTTTAATTTTACGATGAATTAAAATTAATATAGTTAATGCTATTCTAAGTTGGTTGTTAAGAGGAAGCGGGCATATATATAGAGGGTTTCATTGACTTTTAAGAATAAGTCCACCTACTCTGAGTGTACCTATCTCTTGTTGTTGCCTTCCTATTTCAATATTGTTTGACTGTTACTATAATCAAGTCTTTATTTATATTCACATCTTTGATAAACTAGAACACAGTCACAATTTCATTAGTTTTTCTTAATACTTAACAATCCCTTATGAGGATATATCATGGGAAACATTAAGATTGGTCTAGCCGTTGCTTTTAATTCTTTACAATGTTTTAATATACGAGAACCCAGATAAGAGATTTATAATAATACGTCAATTTCCGCTCTAAAATGTTTAATTAAATTTGATTTTATGATAAAAAGTTAAATGACTTTAATTGCTGCTTTATTGCGAAGTCTAAAAAACTAGATTATGTCTGCAAGTGACAATAGAACTCCTGCTGTAAAAATTAATAAATCGTACTAGTTTCTAGAAAAAATTATTTCCTCAGATTTGTTTTGAAACATATGTATAAAGACAGTTAATCTAATGTCATGCTTTACCGATATATCAAGTGTTTTTTATATATTCAAAACCATTTTTCACCTCACTATTTTATAACTGCTTTATTCCTTAAATATAAATGTTAAATCAAATGTTAAATTCTATTTGAAATTTTAATAACAAAAAGATCAAAAATTGATATTACAAATTTTTATGGTCTTTATAGTGTTGATTTGTACTAAGCAACCTTAACGTTGACGTTGAGAGGTAAGATAATTTTTAAATATTACAAATTTATTGTTAATTGTTTTTTTTTTATTTTTTTTTAAAGTCACAGCATTAGTTTCGACTAAGCAACTGTTGAACTCGCGCATACAAGTCACTTACTTTAATACCTAATACAAATCTCCTGTATTTATACAGAGGTAAAATGATTTAACAATCTTTTATACTTAATTTTATTCTCTTCTTTTAAACAACAAAATTCAAAATTAACTTCTATTTTTTTATTTCTATAGTATTTATTTATATTAGGTAAGCGTCCTGTCCACGCATACAATTATCCTGTACTTAAACAGAGAGGTAATATTATTTTAAAATATCTTACACTTATTATCCTTCTTTTATTTAAAGTTATTAAACTTCACTTTTACTTAAAATATATTTTTATCATTACAGTGAAGTTATAATACATAACCACTTGTTTTCCGACATTTAATACGCATATCCTGTACTTACACAGAGAGGTAAAATTATTTTAAACTTATTATCTTCCTATTACTTAGTTATTAAACTTGCCTTTGACTCATAATATTTATCTGTTATAGATAACCACTTGTTTTGCGGCATTTAATACGCATATCCTGTACTTACGCAGAGAGGTAAAATTATTTTAAATTATATTAAATTATTTTAAACTTATTATAATCTTTTTACTTAAAGTTATTAAACTTTGCTTAACATATGGTATAAAAAATTTTAACCATTAGAGTGTTATTCTTAACAGACAACCGCAAATTTTTCGGTATCTAGTACATATATCCTGTACTTATACAGAGAGGTAAAATTATTTTAAATTATTTTAAACTTATTATCTTCCTTTTACTTAGTTATTAAACTTGCCTTTGACTTATAATATTTATCAGCTATAGATAACCATTTGTTTTGCGGCATTTAATACGCATATCCTGTACTTACACAGAGAGGTAAATTATAAATATATAAATTATATATAAATTAAATTATAAATTAAATTATATTAAATTATTTTAAACTTATTATTTTCTTTTTACTAAAGAAAACATATAATAAATTTTAACCATTAAAATGTTATTCTTAACAGACAACCGCAAATTTTTCGGTATCTAATACGTATATCCTGTTCTTATACAGAGAGGTAAAATTATTTTAAATTATTTTAAACTTATTATCTTCCTTTTACTTAGTTATTAAACTTGCCTTTGACTTATAATATTTATCAGCTATAGATAACCATTTGTTTTGCGGCATTTAATACGCATATCCTGTACTTACACAGAGAGGTAAATTATAAATATATAAATTATATATAAATTAAATTATAAATTAAATTATATTAAATTATTTTAAACTTATTATTTTCTTTTTACTAAAGAAAACATATAATAAATTTTAACCATTAAAATGTTATTCTTAACAGACAACCGCAAATTTTTCGGTATCTAATACGTATATCCTGTTCTTATACAGAGAGGTAAAATTATTTTAAATTATTTTAAACTTATTATCTTCCTTTTACTTAGTTATTAAACTTGCCTTTGACTTATAATATTTATCTGTTATAGATAACCACTTGTTTTGCGGCATTTAATACGCATATCCTGTACTTACACAGAGAGGTAAATTATAAATATATAAATTATATATAAATTAAATTATAAATTAAATTATATTAAATTATTTTAAACTTATTATTTTCTTTTTACTAAAGAAAACATATAATAAATTTTAACCATTAGAATGTTATTCTTAACAGACAACCGCAAATTTTTCGGTATCTAATACGTATATCCTGTACTTACACAGAGAGGTAAATTACACAAAGAGGTAAATTTTGAAATATTTTGGATTTATCGATTATTCCTTTTTAATGTTATTTCTATTATAGTGTTGACTATCCATTTCTTCTACTACCTGATACAAATATCCTGTATATATCCTGAGAGGTAAAATAAAAACTTTTATACTAATTTCCTTTCTTTCCCCTACATCAACCAACAAAATTTCAACTTAACTTATATTTTTTTATAGTGCTTATAGTGTCTATATAGTCTATATAAGGCACCACATTGCTTTCAAGCATCACATTTTGATATCCAATACTTTCGTTAGAGAGTATTCGTTAGAGAGGTAAGCTAGAAATAATCAAATTAAGATTTACTTCTTTATTTCAATTTAAACAAACTTTTTCTTTAATTAATATTTGTTTATCCTTCTAGTTTGATTTCTGCAAGGCAACTGTTTTGGCCGTAAAACTCCTAACTTTTGTTGTTATCTAGGAGGAATATCCAGCATTTATTGTGGGAGGTAAAGTAATTCTCAAAAATGTTGCATTTTATTGGCTTTCTCCCAATTTAAAGTTAAAAAACTGAACATATCATTTACGAAATCTTTTTATCTTTATAGTGACTTCTAAGGAATTTCCAGGAAATCACAAGCTATCTTTGACGGTCTAGTTATTATTTCATTGGTTCACAAAGGTATGAAAATGATGAGAACAAAAATTTTTAATGGTTTTATTTTGATTTATATATTAATATAATATAAACATATCAAGAGTATAAAGATGCAAATTAGAGCACGTAGTAAGAGTACAAAGAATTTTCTCCGAAAATTTACTTTTATCTTAAAATGCAATATGATATGAGAGTAGAGTGTATCTACGTGCATCAAATTTAAAGAAAATGAATACTATTTTCTTTGGTAAACTTTTCACACAACAAATGAGCTTAAAACTTAAAAACAAATTATAATAAAACTAAAAATAAAAGTAGTTTCATTCTGTTACCAATTCAAATCGAGAAGCTAAAAGCGTATGAAACCAAAAATGAAAACTTTCGGTATTAAAATTGGTTTATTTAGCCACAATTGCCGAGCTTCTGTAGTTCGTGGCAATTAAACAAAGATAAAAATAAAGAACAAATGATAAAAGTAATGGAAATGAAAACGAGAAAAACTATGATTTACAGTTCTCAAGTATTGTAGTTAGAGTATCTCTATGAACAATTTCGGGCACTCCTAGTATGTGTGCACCAAATAAAACTTTTTTGCGATTGCACTTAAGGATACAAGCATTCCAAGTTCCTGTCATTTTCCGTTTGCCAACGTTGCAATATTCTGTTGTTCTTTTTTTTTTTAAAAAAAAAAAAGCTACATACAATTTAACAGAACAGCTGCATAAAAGTGAAAGTATAAAAAAAAAAATTCTGAAAAGCATAAATGCATTCAATTTATTCACGGGCGGTCCGTAAGGATATTAAAAGCATTTTTACAAAAAGTGAAAATGTGTACACAAAGGGACTAACAAGTATTTTACTTTATAGATTGTTAATATTAACTTCAGTTCAATAATAATTTTTTTCGAGTTAACAGTAACTACATTAGTGCCTTGAAACTCGTATTAAAAATATTTTTACTATATATACGTTGTAACATTTAAACAGGGATTTTTATATGAAAAGCTCACCACAAATTACGCGAAATTAGTCATGTACCATGATTCTGTAAATAGCTTTTAATATTTATGACATTATGAGCATATACGCATTTCCATTAAGTACTTACTTACTTATGTAACCATAACAACCCGTTACCGGGCTGGCATATCTGCTGCAGGCGCACCTTCTCCAGTCTTAAACATCAAGTCCGATTAGTGCGTCCTCACCTTGATCACTCCATTGGAGACAGGGTTTACCTCTATGCCTTCTTCATCCAACTACTGCTTCAAGTACCTTTTTCGCTGGAGCATCTTCATCCATTCCCACTACCTGACCAAGTCAGTAAAGTTCAGAATTATTAACGTGATTTCCTGCCGTAAATGCTTAATATCACGGTGTTCCTCACAGAAGCATCGGTATATTGCGCCCATGAACGCCCCATTGGCATCTCCTTAGTAATTCCACCGGTACCAATGAAGAATTGTGTGTAAGGTATAACTTTTTTTTTAAAAAAAAAGGTATAACTTACAGCTTGGTACGATGCGAGGCTTACGCCTACGATGCGGTGGTGAATATGCAACTCCACGCCGAATGAATGAACATTCTTCCCGCGTAAGTTTGGGTATTAAACACAACCACTACGAATCCAACCTCAACTGGTCACCGTAGACGAAGCTACGTGCCACTGACCCCCGTAGTACCAGATATTATCATCTCTGGTCAAATTTCGCAGGCGAGGATAACAACTACTACCATTCACACTTCTTACACAAGTGTCGGCGTGGCACCGGGATTTTAGTCGCCTCTTACGACAGACATGCCTACCGCGGGAATATTCTAACCCCTTCACCGCAGGGGGAGATCAAGCCAGTAAAGCTGCTAAATGTTAATTCACTGAAATATATCAATGTCATGATAAAGCTCGTACAACTCATGGTTTATTCGTGTGCGACAGTAGTCGCCAACTAGTAGAAGACCAAAGATCTTAGACAGAACTTTCCATTACGTATCTGAACTAATATATAAATCAGTTTTCGTCTGGGTTTTTATTTGGGTCAAGAGTTTGTTATAAACTTTATATTAGAAAATGCATTAAGAAAACATATAATTTGTTTGCATAATACCTCATGTAATGTTGTTATTCTTTCGAAAAATCTATCAAGATTTATTGGCATGACATTTAATCAAATGATTTGAAAAGAATTAAATTTTTGAATATATATAATGCTTTCTTATGTAGTTGTAAAGTTTTTGAGAAAAAATCATGAGTATTATATTCTGTTAAAGTGTCTTTATTTATTTATTAACTGATAATATGTATTTAAATTAAAGAATTAGATAAATCACCTTGGTGACAATTCATACTTTTGCTTTATTTTAAAGAACTGAGAGTGTATCCTTTAAGGATTTAAAAATATGTTGGACATTTGCAACATACAGCTTTGAAAGTATCAAAGCTCCAGAAGCTGGAGTTTCGAGCACAAAGAAAAATTTGCAGATTACATTGTAACTTCGCCAAATAAGTTTGCAATGAAATATACTTCATGGGTTAATTTAAAAAACCAATCAAATCACTTCAACAACTTTGTACTCTATTTTGAACAATTACAAATCAACCCTATACGGAAAACTGATTCTGCATAGATATTTCAATATATATCTTCGACAAACAAGTAGTGAATGCTTGAACTAAAAAATATTTCCTTAAGTTAGACTTTCGCTAACTCAGCTTTTTTGCTCAGTTCTTCCAAATCGAACTAAAGCACCGATTGCTAACCTATACCGTGCTTTCACTAATGGCACGTATCATCATTTCTGTGGCACGTTTTCATTTTTCACTTTATATATCTTCTATTCGGACATGTCAAAATTACAACAATTACAATATTCTACTTAGGACGTATTTTTAAAGAGGTTCGCCATCGCTACTCCAGAAACTTTGCTTTCATGTAGTATTTCTTTTGATATGTATGTGGAGAACAATTGCAATAAAAAGTTTTAAAGGCATTCTATCAAGTTGGGAAACATAAAAATATGTAGAATATTTTTCAATTAAAGTGCCGTAAGTAGAATGTGTTGAAAATTAGCGATTGTGGCAACATTAAACAATTATTATCGCATGCCTAAAAGCAAAATAAGTTTTATTTCAAAGGACATCATAATTCTTAAGTCATATTTTAATCGCTTCGTGTATTTTGTTATTAATAAAAAGTACCGTAAAATTTTCTTGTTTCTTCTCTGATGATTAAAGGTAACCCACATAATTACAACCTTTATTATTATTAAATTCTGTTAGCCGAACTGCCTTAAACAAAGTGGTATTTTGTGCACGCAATTTAAATAAAATTGTGTATTTGTCCTTCCTGTTTTTTCCACAGCCAAGAATATGTATGAAGCTTTATTTCAGTTATGGAACTGCCGGCAGGGCACATTAAACATGCAAGTAAATTAATTTATACCAATGACACCCTGTACACATAAATTATAACTCTGTAGCGTGACATAGAAAATATATTACAATATACTCAGTCCTCCAGTTCTAAACAACTACCGGTGAATTATGCGCACCATAATTAAAAATTGTGGCAACGTAACATCTATTTAAGTTTCTAGGAAATAAAGTTTATTTGTGCCGGCATAATAGTTTAATTAGAAAAACAATATCCTGCGTACTGTGTCTTTAACATAAGCACATAATAAAACCTTTAGTAAATTTAAATTCATTTGTCTTACACTTAAAAGACAGTGTGAACTGAATGAAATATAGAATTGTTTTAAATTGTTATATTTAAAAAATTTATTACAATATTGAAATAGAATAGAATAAAAATAAAAAGAGTATCAGCTCCCAACGGAGAAAAACACTGCGGCCATAGTTGATCTTTAGTAATGCAACAGATCCTAACCGAACTGATGATATTCCGCCTTCCGAATGACAGCCAGATTCTCAGCCGTTAAGGACCTCCTAATGTCAGCAGGAGAGAATAGTTCTTAATACAGACCTCCTCCTCCTGACCCAGTTCAAGGCAGGGCCGTTACAGAGAAGGTAACGGGAAGTCTCGTCTGCTTTTAAGCAGAGTCGACAGTCTATCTCTTCAGGCAGTCCCATTTTGTTAAGGTGATAACGCAGTCCATGGTCACCCGCTAAATGTTCCACCAGTAACATCAGCTCTTTGCTGCTGAAGAAGGATACCTTACCATAACTGGGATGAACCAGTTCTTTAGCCTGATGGTTACCTGGAACGTCATGTCAGTAGCGACTCTTCTCAGCTGAAAACCATTTATCAATCAAAGACCTAGTTGTAGACCAACTTAATCCTCAAAATGGCTCCGGTCCACAGAGTTGAATGAGAGATCCTGACCTCGCAAGACCACAGCTACAGCGTGAAATAGCAATCTAACAGAAGCATTGAGAGAAACTTCAGGATTGCTGATGGATTGCTGCTTAACTATCTGAGTGAGTACAGATACGGGCACCTTTCAACCCATTATTAATGTTGATATGAGCGCAGACCAAGATGTGGTGAAACTTTCGTTGGAGTAGTATCGCGTTGGATACTACGCGAACAAGATTCTAGCTTTAGGACCAAATATCCCTGCACCAACTCCTTCTTTGTTTTTTGAACCGTTGATGTACCACAAAATCACTTTTGGTTCTACTCCAGAAGTGCTATTTTCCCAGTCCAATCGATCGGGAATGAGAACTTCAAATTTTCTACAAAAGAAAAGTTTCATGTTCATGCGATCTATCCTATCGTAGATCTCTATGCCAGAAACTAGTCTGCTGATAGAGTTTTGACTGACAGCACCTGCACTCAAAGCTGCTGTCTTTTTAATAAAGACATACCCCTCTGGATCCATAATGAACTTCAGTGCTGTCGTGGTTCGATATGGCAAGTTCGAATAGTTGCCATTAATTTTAAGTTACTACCTGAATAGTTTGTTAAAAATATTAAATTAATAATAATTTATATATTTAAATTATATTTAAATAAACTATATTTAAATTATGAACCCACTATATGTATTTAAATAATTTTTTCCCTATTTCAGTTTCGTTCAAACCAATCGAAATGTCAAAACCCGTAAGGAAAGAGTTAATTGATAAGTATATAGCTGACAAAAAGTACAAATGCATTAAAAAACTCAACAGCGGTGCTTTTGGGAAGGTATATCTTGGCGAAAATACTCAATCAGGGGAAAAAGTTGCCATTAAACTAGAAAGCCAAAAAGAAAACTCTAAGTTTTTGCAATATGAGTACTACTTTTATAGTAAATTGAGTGATGGTATTGGAATCCCCAAAGTCGAATATTATGGCAAGGAGAAGAAAAATAATGCACTTGTGATGACATTGTTAGGTCCCTCTTTGGAGAGCTTTTTCAGTTTCTGTGGGAAAAAGTTCACTTTACACACTGTGTGCTTATTAGCCGATCAGATGATTGATCGTATAGAGTTCATCCACTCTAAAGGTATAATACACAGGGATATTAAACCAGAAAATTTTTTAACAGGGTTACTGGAAGAAAGTTCATTAATATATCTTGTTGATTTTGGATTTTCGGATTTATATAGAGACTCTGTTACCAATGAACATATTGAGTGTGTTGACAATGAAACCTTTTATGGTACGATGGATTTCTCTTCATGTAATGCATTACAAAACAAGACACAATCTAGGCGTGATGATATCGAAGCTCTTGGTTATGTATTAATATATTTTTTAAAAGGTAAACTACCATGGCATAATATAACAGCTGAAACCAGTCGACAACAAGCAGATAAAGTGCTGGAAATGAAACTTTCTGCGTCTATTAATGACTTGTGTAAAGGAATAGATGATATTTTTAATGTATATATGAGTCATTGTCGTAGTTTAGATTTTAAGGAAACTCCGGACTACAGATATTTAAAGGATATATTTCGTTTTAAGTTAGCTAATATGCGTATTCGTTTGACGTCGACTTTCGATTGGATTCCTAATGTTACTTGGTTTGAAAAAGGTATGCAGAAAATAACTACAGATAAGCGACGTTCAGTCAGAAATAAGAAAAATACACAATGGAAAAAGCAAAAGTTTAGAAAGAAAAAAAGGAATGCAAGGAGATGATATGATTACTTTGTCTAAACAAACAATCTAGAAAAGTCTTGTTTTTATTTTATAAAGATTTTTTTATGTATTCAGTTATATATAATAATTGACAAATGATTGTTACATTATATAGAAACTTAAGAAGAGCTTGCGAAAAAAATTTAAAGCACCAAAATTAGACTTAAAAATCTTTTAACCAATGTAATATCTAAATTTAAATAATTTATTTAATTAATTAGTATATCAGCTATTTCAGAAGCACTTGGTTAGAATTGATAATATTAATTATATATATAAAGATGATGGTAAATAATAGAACAAACAATAGAACAAAATTTTGTAAATCAAAAATAAAATTCTTTTTTTGTTAAGGTCACTTATATATTTTATACAATCTCATTTGTTTCGTCTGCATTAATTTAATTATCTCCGTATCTATAACAGCAAAATAATTATGAACACCTAAGTAACAGTCATTACCATTTACTATTTTATTTATTATGAAACTTGCCATCCTTTGGAAGTCATCGCCAGTGTTACACACATTTACCACTGAGTTTATACCACTTCAGTCGAGGATCAGAGCGGTAGCAAAGTGGCAAGGAAGCTCACAATGATACACACAGCATGCAACACATTTTCCACTCGTTGCATATTTAATGCATTTAAAGGCATTTCATTGCATGGAATTAAGCCGTTTTACTTGCTTCTGATTATGGATTCGGCCGATGGTAAATTCAGAGAATTATGCAAAATGTTGAACACTGATTTTAATGGCATATTGTCAGCCTGGCATAATAATGCTGAGCTGGTGTTATAATTACCACTCTTGTTGTTCATTTTTGGTAAAATTCATACACGTTGAAAATAACTTATTTTGTTCATATTGATATTACCAGTGATTTGGTATTAAATTCTTAATTAACTTTCAAAGGTAAAAGTTTTATCTTTCAACTGAATAACATTAAATTAATTATATTTTATTGACATTATTTAGAACATTTATCATTAGTTTAAAATCTTTTTGGAAAACATCTGAGTTCAGAAATACTATAATAATATTAAGTTATGAGGTTCTTATATAAATTATAATATTCTTAATTCTTAAATGGTGTAGCTATTCAACCATCAAATGGCTATTCTCATAAAAATATTTTACATACTATAATTAGCACTAAAAATCAGTCAAGTTCAGAGTGATCCATTTAATTGAAGACTAAAACCCAGTTTAGTTGGAATTATATTGTTATGAGAAAGAACAAAACATAGCAAACTTATTTAATTTCATACCTCATGAGGATATTACCTCATTATTTCCATTTCTATATTATGTATATCAGTCCAATTGTAGAACTTTCCACTTAGTACACAGAAGCAAATCAAAAGAATCTAAATTATTATGCTTTCTAACGGGGCACTGGACTATAAAAAAACATGGAGCCTAGCTTTGTCTGTCCTGTAGAATCACCTTTAGTGCATGTTTACCGGCACTCGAAGAAGATCAGCAGAAAACCTGTTTTATCTATTTCCAGGCTTGTCTGGAACCGGGTTTAAACTATTGAATGCGATATTTCCAGCATGAGCATTGGCCTGAATGCTCCGATTATTTTTAGCAAGACCATTTTTCTACCTAATATTACGAGGAATTGTGGAATCAAAACTAAAGCCATTAGCTAACTGAGCAGGATTCGTTCCTCTCTTCATTTCATCTACCTACCTAACATACATGATGATAATTTTAAGCAACTCTTAAAAAGTTTACTGAAATGTTAGCTAGTTTAAAATACTGTAGATATTTATTTACATAACCCATAAATAATTTACTTTTAATTTAAATCTTATAAATAAGGATTAATTAAATTGGGTTCCTAATAGCTAAAAATGGAAATACATGCATAAACTTGACCACTCTTCCCTACTACTTGAGCAAAAGTGTATTTTATATATATCATATTTAATTGATTATACTCTCCTTTAGTAAAATTGATTATACTTTCTGCACTTAATAATATTTTATATAAAATAAATTATTTGATTTTATGTAATATTATTTCAATTAATTGGGTTTATTTCACTTCATTTTATTTTTTGATTTCTAAATTTTTATTTTATTTACTTAGTTTTATTTTATTTTACTCTTTTCTGCATATTCTTTGATTTTCTTTAAATTTTTGTATATTAAATTAAAAGAGGTTTAACTTTCTAACTATAAAATTAAAATGTTTGAAATAAAACTAACGTACTGAAGAATTTAAAAAAAAACACGAATTCTTTACACAATTGAGTAAAGTTCTACTTCCAGAATTAATATTTGTTACTATTTTTACATACACGGAAAGTTTAGTCAAATTCCCACTTCTAATCTGATTCAAATACCACTATTAACTTAAAGCATTTTCACCTGTGTAAACTTGATTTTTCGCATGCGATAAAAATTCTATCTCTATTCTATTCAATGGCATTTTTTTCCAAACTTCCTGCTGTATCAAAACGTTTTCATCCTGTGGCATAAAATGGTAATAAAAACTATTCAGTAAGTAAAAACCACTGAAAAAATACAATACTTTCAAGTAAAATCTGGTTCTGTTGTGATTTGACGTTACGCATGCATAACAAAGCCAATACCATTTTTATACAAACAAAAATACAGCAAAGCTAAAGCAGTACATATTAAGTTAATACCTTCAATTTTACAGCAACTTCGGGAAACTTACAGTATTCAGTCTGATAAATAAATGTAAGCATTACTGTCACTTAAATTGAGTTAATACCTTTGATTTTACAGGAATTTCAGGAATTATATATTAAATAATACTTTTGTTTTTAAACGACCTAATTCTCCAATAGACAAAGTCTTATTAAAAAACTTTGTCATTAAAACGATAAATTATTAGATACTAAAGAAATATACTTACGTGTCTAACTCAATGTAAATGTATACAATATAATATGTATACAATACAATAATACGTTTTGATAAAAACTATCTTATGCTCTTTCTAATATATAAATGTAAGTATTGCTATCACATAAATATCACATAAAATATCTTCTACTCTTTTTAATATATCAGTGTTTCTGAAGTTTCTGTCACATATATGGAATCTGGTAATTATTACAATATCAAGAGGTTTTTCAAAAAGTAATGCACTACAACAACAAAAATTAATTTTATATTATTTAAATTAATTGAATTTTTGGTTGACTTTACAGCTGTTTCAAGTATTGCCAAATACTCGACATCAGTAGTCTTGAAAATAATTCTTGTATTTAATTATTCGTAAATAATTTTTTGAAACTGCAAGTACCAGTAATCGAACTGGTGTCCTGCCAAATTTGAAGTTCAGAGTCCGCGAATTTGTTAATAAAACTTTCATAGCAAGTAAACAAAAAGTCCAGGAAAATGTACAAACGTAAAAGTCAAATACGACTTTGGGTCACTTGGTTAAGGAGCGCTGACTCTGAGCTTTAAATTTGGCAGGACATGAGTTCGATTCATGGTATTTGAAGTCTCCAAAAAACATATCAATCAAGAAAAAATTGATGATATATTATATACTATTATCGCTACAAATCAAAAAATTAAACATTATTAAACCTTAAACCTCATATAATAAAACAATAAAGTACAAAGTAGACCGAAAGTAGTGCAATTCTAAGAGTAAATATAGGCAGAATTTAAGATAAACATAAACAAGTACTGCAAATATAAAAGCTAGCACCTTACACACATTGTGAGTAAATAAGAGATTTCATACTAAAAAGGACTTTTTTTTGAAATTCATTGCGCATTTCAGGTATATTTCAAAATTGAATTTTTTCTATACACAATTATCTTAAAAACGAAATTAACACCAAATAAAAAAGTATTTTGTTATTTTAAATCAGTTAAAGTAGTATCAGGAAATATTTTCGACAGCATTGTATAGAACAAGGATAATAATGCGTTTAACAAAGCATCAAAACAAGCATGCAAAGCAGCTAACACAAAATTACCAAAGTAACTGTTATTTTCACATGGCGTATGAGTTACAAAAATTCTAATCCTTACAAAGGAGCTCTTCTTATCTGTTTTCCTTTTTAGCTCTATTATATTGTGTAATTCTTTCTTCTTTTATATGCAATATTCACGTTTTGCTTTGGCTTTGTTTATTTTATGAAGCGGCACTAATGGAGTTTTATTATTATTGGCAAAGTTTCTGGGCAATTTAAATGGAAATAGATGAGAAAATTTTTGGCAATTTTTACAAAATGAAAAATCGATAAAGAAGTTTCTTCATAAGTGTTCCTCTGAAAGCAACAAACAATATATGTTTTTGTTTTTAATACTTTTTTATGCCTTCTAGTGATTTTTATTAAAATCATTCTAAATCACAATTTTTAAATCCTAAATACGTGCTCAAATCTGTAAAATTTTTAATACTACTTCAGTTTTGAAAACAAATACGTTAAGATTTTAGTAAAGACACTCATTTTAATTTATTGATTTAATTTTAAAAGAAAACTTAGAAAAAATTTAAGTGTATTTTGGCACCAAAAATTGTTCATCATTATTTGCTCATCATTATTTAACTAATATGCTTACGAAAGAGTCCTTACTGACTCATTTGAAGTACTAAATTTAGGTATGACTGCAGAGATAGTTCTCCTTTTTAGTTATATTAGTTATTTTAAAAATTTACAAAGTATTATATGAACTTAATTTTAATATGACAACTCTATATTCAATGAAAATCATATTTATAGAAGGAAATATTGAAGCCAAGAACCTACCAACGAGGTATAACATAAGGTGTTGGGAGGGTTGAGTGCATAGCTAACAAAACCATTTTGATCTCTCAGGTAAAGTAGGTGGTCAGGATATTTTTTTTATTTATTTATTTTTTATTTATTTTTAAAAATGCTTTAATGGAAAAAATCCTTTTGAGGCATCATCTTAGAACTAATTTAAAAACTAACCAAAAAAGATATAAATAGTATGTAAACAATAAATAACAATTTACAAATTATTAAATATTGGATCAAAAAAGAGTATAAAATGAAAAATAAGAGATATGAAAAATTAAATTAAAAATAAAAAATTAGGATCAAAAATTTAGAACAGATTTTGCTTGCCTTCAAGCGTTTGTTGTTGGTGCAATCACGGAGAATCTTAAACTCATGA